TTAAGCCTTCTTAAGTTATCGTGTTTACAGACACACACACAGTCAGACAGACACGCACATACACGAACGCCTCTGAAAACAAAATGTGGACTTTTCTGCTTACCCAAGCCCAAAATTGAACTTAAAACTAGTCGGAACAATTATACAATGTAGTTACATGTGTACCCTATACTTTTAAGTAATGTAAAAAATTAAAGTACATTAGGTCCTCATGTGTGATGTAAATACTGTGTCAAACATTTTGCCAAATGTTTACAGAGCACTCTCATAATCGCGGTTATCAAAGGTCTTTTAAACCTAGTCTGCCTGGCGCCGCACCATTTTCTTTCCACTCAATTGCACTGATGTAGTCAAACATTCAGTTTGACTGCTGTGACCAACAAACGAATTAGCAAGGTGTGAAAAGGGTAGGACTGGTTATGTGACAAAGTCCTGGTAATGGTACCAGCCAAATTAGCCACTCCTTTTGCCTGGCAAATACTTATAGAAGACAAGTCCTCTTTAGATCTTGTGTAAGGGCTGCATGATCTAAGTTAAAATTAGAAACCTCAAACTAAAAGTTGTGAAAAGTTCTGTATCTCACCTTGTGTTACAGACATCACTTATCTATTGTTACACGTCTCTTGATTAGGCCAGTCACTTGGTTCCTACAGTTGCTGGTAAAATAGAAAGAAGACAATGAGACTTTATTGACACAACAAGAGTACAACAACTTTCTATATGTCTACTCAAGACATACGTAAAGTTATAGTGATGTTAACCTCACACAAGTATTAAATGACTATCATTTATATACCAATAACGGATCATAGCATTTTGGGATTAATTATGCAAATTAGATGTTTATTTGCATAATTTGTTTCATGTTCATGTTTCACTTACTATAGATTAAATACATTACATTTAACAGAGATCTATTATCTACAACAAAGGGATTTTCAATTTTCTCATTAATTCTGCAAATGAAGTCCTAATTTAACAAGAATTCGGAGATCTCATACCTTCATGAAATATATGGGTTTTTGTAAATGTTTTTATTTGTCTCACTGACTATGGAAATAAGGTCGTAATTATCATAATCTAGTTTAATTTATGGTTTTCTAAATTCAAATGACAATTTTTTCGTGTAAAATTCCTCTTCTTTGTCATACTTCATTTCAACCTGTCATCATTAATTATGTAAATGACCTCCACATTAACATAATATATGCATAATGGTGTTAACCTTAAACTTACACATGTCACAAGGTATAAAACTCCCATCATTCACCAATGAGGAATCACAGAATTTTCACATCATTTATGCAAATTAGGTCATAATTTGCATAATTAGTTTTTGTTGATGTTTGACCTGCCAGAGATTAAATAGATTACATGTATAATAGTACTATTATATAAAACACTTTAGTTTAATTTCCTCCTTAATTATGCAAATTAAGTCCTCACTTGCATGATTTGTATTTAATTATGTACAACTCTCTCTCAGCTACCTACACACCAAAGATGAGGAGAATACGTTGTTCCAATCTGGACTTATTGGCTTTCGCCAGAAAGTCCCCTGCAGTTCCAGAACAAGCTGCGGGGGGGGGGGACCCACACCACTTATTTCTGACAGGATAAGCTATCAGTCACCAAAAAGTTAAGACCATAGCTTGTTTAGGACAAAAGATACAAAAACCGCAGTACCAAGGTCATCCACCAGGAGGCCCATATTTGACCTTGACCTTTGCCTACCTAACACCTATTCACATACTAAATATCATTACAATCCATCTAAAGTTATGCTGGCTGCAAATGTCCGGAAACACAAACACACAGACAGACACACAGACAGACGCACCAAAAACAATACCTTCATTTTTCATGGAGGTAAATAGTTGGTCGTACTGCTCTGATTGTTTACATCTCTGTTGGTAACGTATACAACAACATTAAGCCCTGAGGTTATCTACGTGCGGCTAGAGGGGCAGTTTCTTATATGGGGGACAGAGCGGCCTTTTCTTTTCGCAAGTGGGGGGTGACCATGGGAGGGCCTTGATCGAATTCGTGGGGAGAGAGTTTACTGACTGAACTTGTATCTCCCGAAAAGAAACCGCCACCCTAGCAGCTCGTGGAAACAAAAGCTTCTCCGGTGGAAGTCTGCGGAGGACGCTAAACGACCAGCTGCACTTTGGTCCGCTATACAGCCTCATATATGTGGCCGACCTTTGGATCCGTTACGTACTGCTTAAAAAGATGTAAAGGTTAAACAGAAGTTCCCTTGCAGTTTAAGTTCAAAATCGCCTTAAAATTCCGTATTTCTTGGTTCTGAAAAAATGTATATATAGTCCACACTGCAACTTTTACTCACTTTCACACGAGTCTCTCCAAGAATTTCCGCAAACTCCGGAGACTAACGGTTCTCGATCTCTTGCGCCTTCCGCCATCTTGGAAATTGGACGGATTTATTCCGCAATAGGGGCCACATTTCTTTATAATTGGTGTTGAGAAAAACGACCTTTGACAAAGAAAAGTAATTTAGTACACATTAGATTGTATGAATATATGTTTAAGTTAATGACATTACATTTCGAACAAATTTTAATTTTGGATTTCAGTTGATAAATTGGTCACTTATTCAGGTTAATGACCCGCCCCGAGGTGTTACGTTATACAGCCCACATACTTGCGCAACCGTGCGAGTGACGTGCGTTGGTCATACTGCTCATGCCATTCCTTCGCCGCCACGTTTTCAGAAAAACGTAGCAGACGTGGCATCCCAAAAAACGTACGGACAAAAAGCACGCACGGCGGGTTGTGACCGAGGCTTTAGGTCCTGAGAGTCGGAAGATCGTGCATGCCACAGACAGCAACCAGCGGCAAGCGGACGGGGCGATAGGGAAATTGACTGTACCTTTTTTTATATCTTTAAAGTATCGTTATGACATTTTCTCTCTTATAACTGTGTCAGTTTGCATAGGCTAAATGATATTAGCGTTAATGACCCGTCTGTTTATCGGTGGCGTTATAAGATCTGATAAGGCCTTATCAGTTGCTAAACCATTGAATAAAACCACCGAGTGAGTACAACAGAAATACATTTACTAACAGTGGGAGTGGCGCGAATCATGTGTTCTTTCCCTCCACTCAAAGTTCACTTGTGTTGACATGGTTTTTATTTTGTTATGCATTGCTCAAAGGCATCAGCCTTTCACAATTTCTGAAAAAGTCAATGTGATTCCATTGAAAAAAGGCATGCAGCATTTACACCTGATGTTGCCCTTAAGTTATATCTAGACTGCCAGTATTCCATTTTTCATCTGGCAGCTATAGCCATCTATAGCTATTACATAAGACGACTGGACCATGCAGAAATCGTATCAAAAGTGTGTATATTACCTTGTTCATTTATTAAGATAAAATAAAATGTCAAAAAACATAATTAAACCCGTTACATCCTCTATTCAGAACTTGAGTCTGAAACTCCTTTTTCAATTAGCTGACTTGATTTTGAATAAAGGTTTCATATTTTTTTACACTTAAATTTCAACCATATGCTGTACGTATACTAGACGGTACATTAAACCTTAATATACATAATCCTACACAAATATCTAGCTGCATCGGTGCATCCAAAGTTAGATAGATGCACAGTTCTATTTTGGTGCATGAAAGTGAATTAATTACCCAGTATTTCCAGCCCTGATGTAATTTCACAAATATGACAAAATAGATGCCTCTAACACATATGATAATGCTTACATGTACTTAATAATTACACTTACAACACACTTCTTTACATTAAAATGAAACAGGTGTGTTTTTATCAGTTACTGACTTATAATGTTGTTGTTCATCTAATACATCATCATCTATAATGGTATACACACATATAGATGCCCGACATCCTTTCATAGATCATAGACCCCGTTGCATGCTGGGAGACACTGAGCACTATGGGAAAGCACTCGCAGCAAAAACAAAATCATTCCTATTACAACATGTTTTCAACACAAGCGTATTGCACCCAGTTTGTGTTGTCGCGGTGATTATGTTGTTTGCCTCTCGTGCTACCCATAATGCCCCACATCTCCCAGCATGCAATGGCATTCATTAAAGGGTCTATTCACCAATTTCACATTTCCTATAATGCCTAGTAAAGATCCCGTAAATGGATGGAATATGACGTAAGAAGAGAATATACGTAATGCGACCGTGTGAGTAGGAGAGTCTTCGGTAGAAGGTGGAACGATAGAAGGTACATCATTTTCTCTAATTCCAACAAAAATGTAATTATGGCATGCGCTTTATACTAGATAGATAATTCAAAACAATATCGTCGACCAGTTTTTCGATAGAACTGTTGGAAATATTACATCGAGGAAGGGGGAGGGGTGGTCATACGTCATATCCGTGATCTTTACTAAGCATTATGAGAAGTGTGAAATTGGTGAATGGCTGAAGGAAGGAACACTTTGAGAATTACCCTGTTAGTTTCCTGGTCTAGAAAATTCATTTGTATTGCCATGGCAAACTAATCTAATTATGTATCAATATATAAATATAGATGTACACATATTAACCTTTCTCTCCATTTTGCTCCTTTTCAATTCTTTCCACTCGATTTTGCACTTTCCGTACACCCCTTTTACTATAGTGACGTACTTGGTGTATCTATAGTGGCTAGGGTAAGAGTCACAGAGGGTTTTGCCGGTGCAGACATTGCAGTGGCAGGTTCTCCTAACCTCGGAAAGTTTGTTGTCTATAAATCTATGTTTACAATCTTATGTCGGCCATATTTGGTCAGGTTCTATTTTATTGCCAAGTTACATGTAGTTTGTTCTTGTCATAAGTTTTCTAAAGTACAAGGTGAGTAAGGTGCTGCAACAATTCAACATACATTTTGTACGTATTCAGTAAAACTTCTCCAAGTCACATTCATAAAACCGACGATCAACTGGTCCAGCATAATGCAGTTTTCGTTGCACTCTTTTTAATTTGGTCACTGCAAAAATAGCGTCCACCCCTCAGGTGTTGCCAAAAAGCGACATTTCAGCCCATGTCTATCGACGTTTGAGCAGATTTTCCTGCGGCTATTCCAGAGTCCGTGCTGTCCCCACTGGAGTAGGAGTTCCGCTGGTTATCGGGGTCGCCATCTTGGTCCGAGCCGGTTTTATTAAACGTCTTGCTCTCTCCTCTCGTCAAAACATTCTTCAATTTTTCAACTTCTTCTTCAATCGGGTCCAAATTCTTGCATCTGTCACAGACGTTTTCAGTTGTGCATTTGGAACACTTACTTATAGGTTCTACCGTGTTTGTATTAACTTTCACAACACTTTGGTCGGCTTGAGTATTTTCATCTTGTGTTTGGTTGTTTGTTATTTCCGTTAGTGTTTCTTCCGTGATGTCTTCTATATGAAGCTTCTGTACTTGTGTGTGCTCTGTGTGACTTTGGTTGTTGGGACTCGGTTCTGTGTTATCGTTGTTTTTGTTGACGGACCACGGGCGAGTCATCTGGTCTGCGCTGAGCACGACGTCGAGACTGTGGGTGTAGGAAAAAGTAAAAATATAATTAAGTTCAACACGGCACACAGCATATACAGCCCCTAAATGATTGTTTGTTTCTTTGTTTGTTTGTTTGTTTGTTTGTTTGTTTGAACCTTTGTTGATGAAATTCCCACTTTTCATGAGATCATGAGAGAAGACAAAATGTAACGTTTTGAAGATACAGGTTACATGATTGAAGTCTTAAGCATCCATAAACATATATAGTGAATCCAGAGACATGATTATAATAATCCTTACACATGGTATTAAAAACACATAATAATTGAAAAAGGATGTTGGCATATGGTCCATTCTTTTGGGTCGTTTGGTTTGTCCAAAATAGTTGTGATCATTCTACCCCTAAAGGGGTCATTGAAACTTTTTAATAGGGTCTGACAAAATTTTACCATACATATTCTTTTACATTTGATGCTTTGCTTCTTCAGAAACATATGCATGTCCTAATACGCAATTTACAGTAAACAGAACTTTTTATATGTTTATACAGGTCTTCACAAGATATTTACGGACGATTTTAGAGGAATCCTATTTAATTTCAGAGGGGCAAAACAAAAATTCTTTTGGGTGAGAAAATCTTTATGATATTGGCATTTTCTGCCATTTTTAGCACATTTTGGTCTTCTATTCATTGTTTCATACTTGAAGCGTTTAAATAGGCCCAAAACAAGGTTCGGGAGGTGTCTCTTTTTTGGTATCACCCATGAAAACGTAGAACCGATACGGTACAAAACAAGCAACTGTTTTCAGTCAGTGACATCACTATTTTGCCTTGCATTTATAAGACATAAGTTATAGAATAGGTTTGGTTTAACTTGCTACATTTTTTTAAAGCATCAGAAAATTGGCATTTGGCCTTGAAATTGTGTTGCCTTTAAGCACACAGGTGAAAATTCCGGAAATGACAGTACTTACCCATGGTTCTCTCCACTGCATGTGAGTTGGGAAAAGAAGAATACACAGTAGGTAAGTCATGTAGTTTACGGGTGAACTTTTTATGGTTTTGTAAAGTTTCTAACTTTTCAGTAGAACCAGATAGAACTAGAAAGGCCGACATTTGCCCTGAAGCAAATGCAGCAAATGGCTTCACCACATCCCCCATACCAAAAATAGACCTATCACCCCTCCTTGACAAATGGATTGTTCCTAAAGCACCCCTGTCGTAAATTTAAAGTGTTCTAATAGTCTATACCCCCATGCATGCAGCAATGCAATCTTCAAACGCCTTCTGCTGTTGGAACATGTAGAACAAAGGCCATTCTGTGATAGAACATACTTGGTAGAACCAGTGCTCTATTTAGAACTGTCACGCAGTGACTTCACCAGGTAGTGGTGAGGCTATAAAAAGGAGCAAACTCACGTGTCCGTCCCGGGGTCGGGCAGCTCTTTGTTGTAGTTTTCCTTTCCCGTCAGCCAGTACGTTGTTCTGTGACCTTTACCCTGTCACATGGTTTTAAAATTAAAGAATCAGGAAAATTACAGAAAAAGGTAAATAATATTATGGCAACTTTCAAGCCTTAAATGATGTTTGTGTATATACTTGAGATGTAACATTGTGTGACGTCCTGTACTGTAGGGTAAATCTGACCCTGGCTTATGTACGTCAATTTCTTAAAATTTTACTACATTCAACAGATATGTAGCTGCACAAAGGTTTTGAAATACCTACAAAATTATGTCGAAAGTTGATTGCTTTGAAGTATTTTTAAGGCCAAGAAAAAATTACTTGATTAGGTGTGGCCCGATGCTGCATGTTTCTGAGGTACTGGTAAACGGTTGAATTTTGGATTGGCTCTTTCCTTGGTGCTGAAGGCTGGTTGTTAGGGGAATTTTTCTTACCAGTGGAAAAAGCATCAAACAAGAGTCAAATTTTGAAGTATTTGGGTCACAGTTCAACAGGTAAGATAATGTGACTATGTGTATGACTGTGTATGACTTATTACATAACATGGTAGATTGGTGTGGCCTTATTATACCTTCAGTAGTACTTTTCCTCGAGGCTCGTATTTATACTCCCCCAGCTGGTGTAGTAAGGACATGGTAGACTGGCTCATGTGTATCCGGAAGGCTGAAAATAAATTGTATTGTTATGCTAGCCTCTACCAGGCTTCAGGAGGCGGCTGGAAAGAGTAGAAATCGGCCAAATAGAGAGATAACATGCCAGGAGAGTTTGTCTGCTGGGAGAGAACATTTTGCCTCTGGTATGTTTATCTCTCTATTTGGCCGATTTTTACTCTTTCCAGACGCCTCCCGAAGCCTAGTAGAGGCTATATTTTTTGTTATGCCATACCAATTTAATTGATTGGTTTTGGGATTTTTTCCAGAAAAAAGATGAAGCAACAGGGCAAAAATATAATGGACCTAATCATTTTAGGATAGCATGACATTGTGTGCAAGTGTAGATGATAATGATCATACATGGTAGTAGGGATGCAACAAGCCATATCATCTCTAGTGTCTAGCTAAGATATGTCTTTAATATTTGTCCAAAAAAATGTCCGAGTAGTTTGGCAGCAGGAGTTTCCTAAGTAAGACACAGGAAATAGGGCGAACTTGAAGGTCACAAAAAAACAAAAATACTACCCCAAAGTCTGATGTTAGAGTGTTCTTTTCCAATTGAAGAAGCGGGAGACTCAGTGCAAGTTGCCAGCTATTTATTGCACGTATCCCCTCTCCGCAACCCTGTGACGGACTCCCCCCTACCCCTCTGGAATGCCTTCTCTGACCTAGATATTCTATTCCGTCCGGGCTTAACCGTTACTTATCAAGGGCGAGTACAGACCTAATAACTTGCAATTTTCTCTAGCACTTTACATCTGAAATCTTGTTGTTTAGTATAGTGTAACACTCACGCATCCCCGTAGATTCCATCCGTGACGCCGTGTTGACGGTATCTCCGAACAGGCAGTACCGCGGCATGGTGATGCCGACAACCCCGGCCACTACAGGACCTAGTCAGGTACAGGTTAACGTTAACATTCATGATCATGGACTATACATAATAGTAATACATGTGTGCACGCATGTACTGATTGTGCCATAGAATAGACAAGTAAAATCGATGACACCTGTGTTCTAGCCGTCCTATTTTTTTCATAATCTCAACATGTTAAGAGCTGAAGGCACGATCTTAGGAGGGTCCTGGGGCATGCTCACCTTTTTTTAAATCCCTCTGAAATACTTTTTCCTGCATTTTGGTAGACGTAAAGCTTAGTTTAATGACATCTGTTTTAGTGAAAAATTACAAAAGCTTGATTGTTTGGGAAGGCATTTCTTTGTCTGAAAAAGATGGCGGATCAAGCAAAATTCAATAAAATGACCGAGGACAGACGCTGGCTTAAACACTGGTGACACTAACACCATACTAAAAGAAAGCACGGGAAATGTACAAACATCAAGACTTACCCCAAAAGTCTGTACACTGCACGGCACACTTTGCACACAGGCTTACAGCAACGTCACATTACAACAACATCTAACAAAGAGACAAGACCAGTCACGAGACATCTGTCTACTGAACAGTACAGTACACTCTCTTTATTTACTTTCGTGGTAAATTAATTTACTTTAATGTGCATTATAAAGGAAAATAAGATGCGGTGTTCTAAATTCAAGTTGGAAATAATTCTGTAATTCTGTAGTGATACATTGAAAATACATACTCTAGGTGTTGTGAATTAACATCGAAAGATGCCAGCGCAATAACCACGAAAATAAGTTTCGATATTAACAGTAAGTATTATGCACCAACATTATGCGCCAACATTATGCGGAACACTATGCATTGCTCTATTATGACTTAGGTGAGTTATAATCCATTGAAAAATCATTATTGCAGAAGGATCACACTTAAATGTTAGAGTTATTCATGCAGTTCCAGGTGCAGACCAGCGTATGGGCCGCGTGTCCCCCACGAACACATAGCGTACTCATACCGTGCTTGACCGATGCATTGCGGATTAAAAACGAATGACCTGCGTAACAGCGTACGCAGCGTAGTTTTGGGCATTCTCAAAACTACGCTGCGTACTGGGCCGGGCGGTGCGTGTGCTGTGCGTATGCCGGCGTTCACAAAACTTACACAAAACGACTGAGATGCATATGAAGTGTGTAGTTTGCGTACGGCTTCGTATGAAAAACAATTCCCGTACGCAACTCATACGCAAGACGATTCGCAAAAGTGTGACAGGGCCCATACATACTAAACATGACAGTCTGGATACCTGAGTGTAAGCCGATCCGTATCCTGAGCGGTACGTCCGGCATGTGTCTGATGGTGAACAGGCCGGACGCGTGGAGGATGTCCAGGGACATGGTGGCAATCTCCCCCGCGTGCCTGTTCCCGTTCCGCACGGGGAGACCAGACACAACCATGTAGGCATCGCCGATCGTCTCAACCTGAAACAGTTTAACAGTATACGTATGTTATATGTTTGTTAACTCCAAGCGGATGTCAGGAATGGGCTCATTTTTCACGTGCATTTTCTCTAATGCACATGTTATTTCCGGGATGGAAGTATTCTTTTGGGTAGCTCTGGATCATTGGAGATTTATCTATACAATTATCTCATACTACGAAGTAAGGATTGGAAGGTGTGGGTGGAGGTTGGATTCCAGTTGATTGACAGGGTGACCCGATATGCCCAGGGTGGTAGCTATATATAGGATGTCGTATGAGGTTGCCAGGAATGTGTATAATGTGTAATCATGGTATGAAATATATACCATGATGTAATACCAGATGTCTCAGGATATGAAATGTCTATCATGTTTAACAATAATTCCAATCTCACATTAATTTATATTTGAACTCAAATGACTCTTGTGATAGTATTTCCACTGGAGAGAAAACCTACCCTAACAGCCAGTCTTCAGCACTAAGGACAGAGCAAATCCAAAATTCAACCATAGTATAGTATAGCAGTACCTCAAAAACACGAAAGGAACACATCATACTTTAAGTGATTACATATATTGCAGTATTAGGCCACACCAATTTGACTTGTTGATTCTGCATGCAATGGATTGTTAACGTTTAAGTACTAGCATTCTAGTACGCTCTGTAACGGGTTCCTGACCTTATAAACATCGTAGTTCCGTATGACGTCGTCGAAGGTCGTATAGAGGTCGTTCAGTAGGTCCACGACCTGCATGGGTTCAGACATGGCGGAGATGGTGGTGAAGCCGACAATGTCGCTGAAGTAGATCGTCGTCTCTGTGAAAGCTTCGGGTTTAACCGGCAGTCCCCGCTTCAGGTTGTCAGCCACAGAACTACACGGGTTAAAGAACATAATAGTATAACATCCTCCTTTTAACAAAGAGGCCATGCTAGTCAAAGGATGAAAGGCGTAAACTTCATGTGTGGCAAGGTGTTCTCGTCGTTGGAGTTCGTGACTTGAATCTAAAGGTTCTGGGATCGAATCCTTAGGCATCCTAAATGGTGTGCCCCTGGAAAAGGAACTTTCTCTGCTTTCCTACTTGACTGTAAAAATGTCTAACAGGACTAAAAAGGACGTCCTCCCGAATGGGATGTTAAGCCATTTTTTTGTGTTTGAGAAGACCCAATGTTACAGTATTTGTACAACACTACTTTTTACATTTTCCACACACGCACACACACACACACACACATACACACACACACATTTACACAAAGACAAACACACACACACAAACACACAAACACAGGATGCTACCTTTATAATTGATTTGTTAGTTCCTTACTTACCTTGGCAGCATCTGACTCAGTAGCTCCTCGGTCTTTTTCTTCTCCTCGTCCAGTGCCTTGGTCCTCTCCTGGATCATGTCCTCCAGATTAGAGGAGTACTGCTCCAGCATCTTAAACATGTTGTCCACGATGTTTATCTTGTTCCCCTGATAAGGAAATATCAGGCATGCGTCCGATTTAAAATGTTACAGTTTCCAATATTCAGTCATTGTTTTGTATCAGGCTTGCCACTTATATGTCATGATCACATTTGTTGTAGGTTGTCGTATACGACTTTGATGTAGTGGAATTTTTTAAACAGACTGTGACAGAAACAGCCACCAACAAGGACAAAAAGACTGTCATCATCCGCAAGAGAACAGCTACACTGCTCCATGATCCAAGAATGCCTTTAGTTTGTGATCTTCAGAGGAATAGAACAGGCCATTAGACATATGTCAACCAATAGCCCTATCATGCCAGCCTACCTTCTCATCCTAGGTGGTAATTTTCCTCCATTAATATTAAGCATTTTAAAGAAAATCTAATAGTTATGTTGTGTACATCGAATGGCCGTTTGCCTAGGCTAACCGACATGCTTGAGAGGTTGGTTCAGTGCTAATGGCATTCCAGGCCAGACATTACGACTGTCCCCGATGTGCGAAATGGGTACCTGATTTTGGTTGGGGCTGTAAAAGGCAGTGAGAGAAGACGGGCTCTTCCTTCCAATACCCATGGCCTAGACATCGTGGATCAACCCACTACCACTGTATGGCCTCAAAAGGCCCGGCCATACAGGACTACCTTTACCTTTTACTTTTACGTTGTGTCCTTATAGCCCCCTTTGCAGTCTTGTTGGGCGTCGGCTTTATTTTTTTCTGTGAGCGACACGAGTAATATGCCGCCGCGAGGGACGATTTGCTGCCGAGGGAGTTTTTGCCGCGGAGAGAAGGATTCGCGCTCCAACAATCGTCCCTCGCGGCGGCATATTACTCGCGTCGCTCACAGAAAAAAATAACGCCGACGCCCAACAAGAGTGCGAAGGAGGCTAGTGTACATACCTTGTTGATGATTTTGAGCTCTTCATACAGTTGGTTGAAGTCTGTGCGCATGTCGGGTAACTCTGTCCAGCACTGCTTCATCATGTTAATGAAGTCCTGAGGGGCGGAGCTAGCTGTGACTGACGGCCGGCACAGGGGAGGGGGCTTCTTCACCTTGGCTATGATCTCTGTATACATGTAATATCATTAACTCTTATAAAAGACCTCTACTAAAGTCAAGAGGAGTGTGTTATTTTCGGATAGATAATGATTTTATGAAACCAATCGTTTATAATTGTATCAGGATTAAAGCATTGCATAACCAAGTCATACAGTCAGCACTGTAAGAGTACTGAAAAACTCAAACACAAAAGATATGACAAAATTAAAACACAAAATATTAACTGGCTTCTCCCATAGGATTATCATGCATTATCATGAAACCCAGTACGACTACAGAAAGGGTTACAAATGAAGTAATAGCTTTCAAGTGCACTGTTCTATCTAAAATAGTGTCTCCGCTCCTGAGGTCTCGCCAAAAAGACATGATAATCATTATGTCATGTTCCATTCCAAGCCTTATCTAAATGGCATGGCGTGAACCATGGCATAATCATTTCTGGCAACACCTCAGGGGCGGAGACATTTTTCAACAATGATTGACATGTGTCGTCTCGTCACCTTGAGCGGAGAGGCTGAGCATGCAGAACGGCGGTCCCCTGAGGATGATCTCCTGACAGATAATGGCGAAACTGTACACGTCTCCCTTCTGTGTGCCCGCCTTCCTCAGGACAGGGTCTCTCAGCAGCTCTGGGGCAGTCCACAGGAGGTCTGCAGAACGTAACAGCAGTTAGAATGCTACACCTAAGTCTTACAAATCTAGAACACTACAAGGTTTCATGGATCATACATCTGATGAAGGTTGGCGTGTTCGACTGAAAATTCACAGTGAGTGTTTGTTTTGTGTTGGAACTAATTAAGGCTTAAACTAACCTACATAGTGTATTAGGTATCTTCCATAGTGCCCCAAGGGAGTGTTGCATTTTATTTGAGGTGATACTCATCCAAGAAAACACACATTTCAATGCGAAAAATTGGTGTCACTAAAGAAAAAATTGTAGCAACTCCAACGTCCAAATCTGGTTTGAATTCCAAATTTCGAAAGCGGCACACCCAACGCACATGAAACGTGTTCGGATTATTCCATGAAACTTTTTTTGGAGCTCATGTGGATAACTTTAGGAAATGGCTGGTCATCACACAGGTCACACTGCTGTATTGAGTATCTCATTAGTGGCGCCGGTGGCGCAACGGTCAGAGCGTTGGACTCACCGCGTTACTCACCGTGGCCCGACACTTAACACGACTTCCCCACCATGTACGGTGGAGTGACGCCCACCGAGCCTCTTGGGATAATTGTCTTACTGGGTGCCATAAACACCCTACAAATTTAGTACGCCAATGTGTCAACATCAGCACATTTGCGACCAAGAACCGTTAATGTTTTTAAGTATCTCATTACCTCAGTGTCTAACGCTCGTATCATCGACATATACAGCAAGTACTCTTTGCCCTGCTTTCTGTTCCCTTGTTCCTTGCGGTTCTCCTTCTGTGTCACCAGGAGATCGGATAAGCCAATTACAAAATCGAAGTTTTAACGACAAAAATATTTCTTTAAGAACAAGAGGTCGATGATCTCATACCTTCGTCATGTATAAAAAATCTACAACATCAAAATTTTTCTCGTCCAGTCACATTCCGTCATAAAAATGACCACAGCAGCTCCAAAAAATGCTGCTATTTCGCTTAAAACCACACAAGATACTTATTGCCCAGGCATCTATGTCCCACTTGATAATCAAGAGCATAGCATGTCCACAGCACGAGATACAAAAATGTATCATACCCATGTACCCCGCTGCAGTATATTATAAAATCGCTAGAGTATCCAAAATTGACCTTGACCTTCCTTTTCCCAACCTCATTCTACCTACAAAATATCATAAAGATAACACACACAACCTTCTGACGAAGGTGAAAAGTACCTTTTGCCCTGCTTTCTGTTTCCTTCTGTTCCTTGCGGCTCTCCTTCTGTGTCGCCAGCAGGTCGGGTAGACCGTAGTCGGAGATCTTCAGGACGAAGCGGCTGTCGATCAGACAGTTCCGAGAGTTCAGCCTGCCGTGAACCTGGATGGTACTGTTGTGGAGGTACTTCATGCCCTGAGAGAACAAACATGTAGATACGTTGTTGAAGGTTAAAATCAAGGTAAACAATATTCATATAAAGGCGAATGCGGTAAAGGGGTCCGGACTAGTCTGAGTGGGTCCGGACTAGTCCGAGCTGGTCCGGCACAGCGGTAAAGGGGTCCGGACTAGTCTGAGCGGGCCGGGACTAGTCCGAGCTGGTCCGGCGCAGCGGTAAAGGGATCGGACTAGTCTGAACTAGTCGGAGCTAGTCCGAGCTGGTCCTGCGCAGCGGTAAAGGGGCCCGGACTAGTCTGAGCGGGTCGGAACTAGTCCGAACTGGTCCGGCGCAGGGGTCCAGACTAGTCTGAGCTGGCGCAGCGGTAAAGGGGTCTGGACTAAATCAAGAGGTGATTTTAAACTTCTGATAAGTAGATATAGGGTTGAATAACTTCATTATAGAATGGATCATCACTTAATACGGTTGTATGACATAATTTGCTCCACTATAATTACAACATGCTCTATTTTTCATACAATTATTATACAGTACACATTCCCGGGGACTATGATAATAGGTACAGCACAGGGCATATACCGGATCGCAACACTGTCAATCAGAAGTTTGGATGTTTTTTTTTACTCACCCTGACCAGATCCGTCAATAAGGACTGTTTCACCACCCAGTCCAGCTGCATCTCTTCATTACGGATCAGATCCTACAACAAGAAAGGCTCTCTTGTATTTCAAAACCATGCTTAGAGCGTGGTAACATTTGCTGTACAACTGTCGTACCATCACAAACTAAGGGTAACTTTGGTAACAGTGGTGCATGTGCTGTACGTAATTCAGGTATTGAAAATACAACAGCCTAAGATCATTTTTTGGCAATCAGTTTAGTCACAGCCTTTTTGAAAATGCTATGGCATCAAAATCATAACGACCTATGCCGGACAGTGAATGAGCGAGTGATGAATATGACCGTGCACTAAGTTAAAAAGTGAGCAGTTCGGACCATTCACAATGTTGATACATTTATCGAGTAAATGAATTTTCAATACATATAATTTTGTCGAAGAGAAATCCCTAAATATTTTTACAGAATGATTAATTGAATTCACTTACATGCAACTAGATCCTCTGGGCATTTATAACTAATGAAAGCGTGCAAAGAGCTGAATATGTGAAAATGAAGTTATAAATTAAGTTTTGCACATTTAACTTCATTTTCACATTTGCAACTTTTTTGCACGCGTTCTAAATGCCCAGATGATGTATTTTGTATTAATCAAACCAGTACTGCCTTACCTCTAGGCTCCCCCTGGAGCAGTGTTCAGTAACGATCCCCTGGTTCCCGGGTTCTGTGTAGCAGCCCATGAACGGATTCAAGTTTTCACTGTGCAGGTCACGCATCTGTTGGGACAGACAATTAAGCATCGCATTGGATTTAGACTTTCTGCATTCACAAGACTTAGTACATGTTTAAATAAGAAATAGAGGACTCAGACTTTCCAGAAGTATTTTAGGGTTTTTGGGAATGTATTGGAAGTGGATTGTATGATCATGGGGAAATACCCAATTGCATTACACCATAGAATAGTTTACTAATATGATTATATGATGTAACTCAATACTGTATTACACCATGTTTCATACCATGATCACACAGTACACTTTTCTGACAACCTTATACCACATACTACCACCCAGGACATACCCTGTCAATCAATGGGTACCAAATGTTGCAATAAGCTACAGATTTGAAAACAGAATTGATATTGTGCACTTAAAAAAAGCAAATTTTCCCACCTGTTTGAGCACCTTCATAACCCTGCTGTTTGCCCCCAGATCACGCAGATGCATCCTCTTCAGCCATACTAGCTCCCCCTGGTGATCAGGAAATGAAGTACAAGTTACAACAAAATTTAACAATAACTCCTACACTCGTAAATTTACTCAACCTGAACACTTTGAAGTTTAAACCATACTGATCTGTCCAACTGTCCAAGGAAAAAGCAATGAAACGTAACAAGACATTGGTTCACTTATCATTGAAATATTACACCTCATAATTCGTAATAGGAATGAACTAATGACATTTGAAACTACAGTTTTCCTTACATTATATCTCGCTACTGGTGAATTACCGTCGCCACATTCCGAGCCCGCGCTCCTCTGTGCGGTACTGAGGGCGAGACTTGGTGCTCTCAATCCCTGCCAGTGCAGGTCCTGTGGGGAAGGCAATATAAAGCAAGATTTCAGAATTCCATTCCAAGGAAGTGTTTTTGGTTTATTCGGCCTTCAAGTTCACTGATCTCGGAAAAGTTATTGGAGTTTTTTGCGACCTTCGAGATCACAGACCTCTGAAAAGTTTAGGGGGGTCCTGATTGTAAACTGTGAAGATGATTTTATGATGTAATTCAATGTACATTTTTACTTCCTGAATTTCTCCACATACTGCCCACTCGATTCCACACTGCATACTTCTCTCTTCCAATAAGCTGTCAAAATTACCACCCGCCCTCCATTCAACTGTTGCTGTTTGAACAGACACACACACACATAAACAAACAACTCAGCCACCCAAAACAATTCTACACATCAATCCCAGGCCACCCTCCCAGCTTTACATACATTTCTGCTGTTTTTGGTGGAGTTTCTGTTGACGAACACCAAGTCTCCCACCACCAAGACCAGCTTACTGTCTCTCATCTGGCTCTTCATATACAGCTTACTGCAAACCACATAGAAAACACATGTTACAAATTAAAGGTGCCTATGTTAAGAATTTTATACAATCTAAATGTGCCTATAGTATGTTAAGAAATGTAACAAATCAAAGAGGCCTAATTGTTATGAATGTTACATATCAATGAAATCTTATATGGTGACCAGCCCCTTGCTACATAATGTAGCCCCCACACCACATCTTGTCTACTACAGCACCAGTTACCATGGTGACGGTCGACTGGTTCAGGTCACGTCATAGACCTTACCGGTTTGGGGAAGAAGAAGAAGAAACAGAGCAAAAACAATTCCTTCTGCGAATGCTCTCAGTATTGAATCATTACTGTATTTTTCCTGTAATATTTCAGTAACGGTTGGTTTGCTAAGGGTATCACCTGAAAAGTATTGCTGAGGCCACGCAGGCTAGGACTGTCAGAAAGACACCGACCAGGATCCCCACCACCACAACACTGTTATTGCCTGGGGAGAGGGGAGATAAAACAAGTAATGTAAGGTAAGGTAATCAGAGTAAGAATGGATTGACCAATTAGCAGCTCGCATTTGATAATTTGATTATGTAGCCGTAATACCATACAGGCTAGCCAACAGCCATAGTTTGGTAGTGGATGGGAATTACATGAATGTAATTCTGAAGAAAAGTACTTGTCAAAGTATGAAGCAAAATTGAGAAATTTGCATACTTGTAGGGTCTTCACAATATCCTTCAAACTTGCAGGCTGGGTCCGGTCCAGGCAGAAGTACCGTCTCAAGAACTCCATCTTGCTGAACACCCCGGTACTGCAGGGTACTGCCATCCAGGTATGACGCTTCCAACTTAAAGAGAGAAAGATTGACATTTGTTTATCTTCGAGATGAAATTAATTAGCAATCAATTCTTTTTAAATGATAGTACATAACTAAACTAGAAACTGTGCACTGGGGAAAGTGTTGTTTTGGGTGGGTAAGCTGTGGGTTTGTGAAAATTCTGGACTCAGAACCAGATTTCTTTGCGAAAGGAGTAAAGGAGGCGATGTACATTCGGGCCAACCGTCCAACACTGAACAGAGACGGGGGGCGACACAGGTTATCTGACACGTACGACCCCCTGCTGCAATCACGTGTTTCAGATTTGGCAAGAACGTTTAGTCCTTTTTGTCATAATGAAGTATACCAACACAGATGAACTTTCATACTAAGTCTTGGGTTTGTTTGTCTCTCCGTACAGAGTAGGTTGACAGCACGTGGGTAGGAGAAGATTGACAGGCAGAATGAGAGGAGGTCAAAAGATAAGACATAGGAAATGGGGTTATCTTGAGGGTAAGTTGCTAGCAAGTGGGTAGGAAAGATTGGCGGGTAGAATGACAGGAGGTCAACAGGTCAGACGTAGGAAATGGAGTGAGCCTGAAGGTCAAGACAATCCATAATTCTATTTCTTGTAAGGAAATTTTCTGTACATTTGCAATTGACAAAAGTAGGAGTACAAACCATAATTAACGTTTCTGGACTCCCGCCGTCCATTGGATGCTGCATCAGGGCGAAGTTGAACATCCGCTCCCCTGATTGGTCAAACGACACCCTTCCTGACAACCCCTCAAACTCCACCTCGCGCATGCGCCTTGTTATCGCGGTGCCATTGGTCAGGCCGTCTGTACCGCGGTGACCAGGCATGGTGTTGTTGATCGCCGTTGCCATGGTGATCACAGAATCATACAGGGTGGAGAACGTAAACAACTGAAAAAGATAATGAACACATTTTTACCGCAAGATTGCGTTTCACTTTTTCAGCTCTCGTAGATTTCTTACGCTTACAAACGTTGGGAATACAATACAATGATAACGTTTAATGCACAACAATATGGTTAGGATACAAAGGTGCGAAGTGATTACGTCATTCAAAATGGAGGTACAGAAAAAGCAACTGCTAGATCTGGTAAATTCCTTCTCAACTCATTTCCCAGAAGCAACGGGCGTTTAAAAAATCAACCTTTATTGTCTTACACAAAGACCTTTTTAAAATTTTCATTTTTTGTGTCACACAAAAGAATTCGATTTAAATCATGGCTTCTTGTGTTACACAAAAAGCAATTCAAAATTATAGTTTCTTGTGTTACACAAAGAGCATTTCAAAATCATCGCCTCTTGTCTTTACACAAAGACAAGTGATACAAGATGGCGGACCATGTGGCGAAAACAAACCTCTTGAGACAGTTATGATGGCGTTTATGTTGGATCAGGGCCGCTTCAAACAAAATTAGCCACAGCCAACTGAGCTTTCATGTCCTTAGAATCATCCACACAAAAGCAAACCAGCATTGTGATTGAAAAAGGACTCTAGTAATCAAGCCATTGACGTGGGAACGTGGTTGCCTTTTGTGTGATTCGTGTTGTAGCTGAATGGAAAATACCGATCACCTATTGTTAGTGGCGCTCAAAATATGTCATCCCAACAATAATTACTACATTGTATAACACGGAGGTTGACCAGTATTAACCTTTTTCTTGCTGAAGAAGCTGCTCGGCACCAAATTTGGATGGTTAAAGTCATGCACTGCAATCTCAGAGTGGCAAAACAAAAACAATATTCTGGATGAAGAAATGTGTCTAATATTGACATTCCCTGCCAAATCTTAACTTTTGTCATCATTTCATACTTGAAGTGTTTGAAATAGCCCCCCAAACACTTGAAAAATCTCTTTATGTGTGGGTACAACTACGACAAATAGCTATTACCAGTCTACGATACAAAACAAGCAGCAATTTTACGTCCGCAACATCGACTTTTTGTCTCGGTATATGTTTTATATTTATTGGAAAGGGTTGCTTCAACTTACTACATTTAAAGATTGACCAGAAAATGTACTTTAAAAATCCAGTTTTGTCGCCCTGAAATTGCACTGGACGCCCTAAGGGATGGGTGAAGGTTGACCCTTAACAAGTTCTAGAGACGACATTTTAAAAATTCACGAATTAAATTCAAAGAATCTTATCCATTTTCAAATTTAAAAAAAACAATTATTGCATTTCTCGATGCAACCATGTGAAAAATGCCAAACACTTTTTCTAACGCACAACGATATTTACCAACGCTTCCAACATCAGACGAAAAAAAAAGAAGACAAAGAAATTACCTCGTGGAGTTTGATCCCTCCATCTTGTACCATTCTCCTCGTTTCTCTTAAACTTTCTTGACTTGTTTCTTGCAGCTGAGACGGCGGACTTGGTGATAAAGTCAGCAGCGAACGGTAAATGTCCGCGGTGCGGTTTGTGGTTGAGTCGGTGGCGGCATGGAATCGACTTGCGACCGCGGAGTTGAGTAAAGGATCCGCGGATATGAAAGCGTATCGCCCCGAGGATAAGCCCAGCTGGTGCGAGGCGTTCAGGACCAGGGATTCTTCCCAACTGTCGGACATGTGCGATCCTGTGCATAGAATTATCACTGAAAATAGAGCAGAAACAAGCTAGAATAACTATACATATAAATATAATATCTAAAAGGACAATCTGGCGTATTTCTGGCCATTAGAGTGCAGTTCTATTAGAAAAATACAGATGTAAATTATCTGTTTGACTTGAAGACCAGAATTTTATGTGAATCATAATTTTGATATGATTTTAATTTATTGGAATTGCAACAATATATGCAAATATACGTGGGGCACAGGCAGCTATAGCTAGTATGCTGGTATCGTAACCGATACATGATATTATACAACACATAGCGAGGCATATACTGAATAGAATTAGTTCCTACAAACAAAAAAGAAAATAAATTCGATATACGATACAGCAAAATAAAATACAGCCTAACTACGCATATCAGTCCAAGGTAAATGATTTTCAGTCAGCTTTTGATGTTACCAAAATAAGTGTCATTGTCTTCCTCCTGACTTGTACCATGTACCGTGTACTTGTACTCGTGTCTTCTATACAATTAAGTTATTAAGATAAAAATGTATATCTGATTCAAAAGGTGAAAACAGATACAGTAACCCATGGTACACCCCACTTCTATTAAAAGAAGCGTATTTTTAGCGTGGAGCTTGGTTCACATTGTACGAATAGATTATCATCATCGATCCACTAATAGCAAAGTACGGCAAGTGCTAGTAATTCCTAATAATAGCTCCTAGCGGGCTAATTATTACATCCGGGACGAAAGTATTGCTGTGGGTGCACCTAATTCATGCTAGGTTTGTATGTTTTGGTTCCAAAGTGAGTGGGCGGAGATTTGATTTCACCTAAGTTGATTGACAGGTGTTTGACACGTTATGCCGTAGGTTCAAGGAGGTCCACGATCTCAGATGATGTTATCCTTTCCAAATGACGAATTGTATATCTTTCTCATCCCTATGAAATTAATATCTCATTTGCATGAATTATATCAGTTGATCATATTCTCCACACCATGACAGTCCTATCTTAAAACAGAAGGTTATTCTATTATTCAATTCCCTACAACAAAAAAGCAATTTTACTACTAGAATCAAAGAACCCGCATACCATAGAGGAAGTGGGTAAATTCGTCTTCCATTGCCTAAAAAGAAGAAGTCAAACCCAGTAAAACTAGTACCATGTATGTTGTAGAATAGACGTAGATATAGCCTCACATACCACTGTATTTTCTTTCTTATGTTGTTTTGTAACTGCAATTAGCCCTCGTGCAAGTATTTGCAATAAACTTTCTTTCTATTATTTCTCACAAATTTTGAAAATTAGGTCCACATTTAAATAACATGTTTACCAATGTTGGCATCACTTAACTTCCAAACGCCGTAAGTACGAAATTCCCAGCAGTTACCACTACGAAATTATAGCAATTTTCCATTAATAACGCGAATTGGGTTTATAATAGTATTCACATTGTCAATTTCTTATGATGTTCCTCTCGTTCGCAGTTACATATATTACAGGTTTGAGTAGTTCTATTATGGAAAGAAGTAGATTTATAGAACGTTCCTGTCCTTAGTGCTGATAGTCTAGCTGTGAGTTCTCACCAGTTTGCCATCTATTCCTATTCACGCGTTGATCCGTTTCTGTTCATAAGAGTCTAAACTGAATATAGAAGCCATTGATAAACACTCACTCCACGGATGTCTATCCAAGCTGTCTCTTCGTATCTGGCGATGTCATGAATAGACTGTATCACTCCATAATGACTTCAGCGCATATGCCCAAACGCGAAGTACTAGACATGCAGCGAAGCCGCCATTCATAACTATATTCAGCTTAAATCTCTTTTCTATTCTTAGCTGCAGGTATAGATGTTAAATTGGTTGTCGCTCTCTATCAAGGAATCATGTATTATATAAAGCCTTAGCGTGGGTTTATTTGACGTTTACGATAATGTTTTTCGCATTTAATGTATCATTATAAGTGCCATATTATGTAGCTTTAGCATCATATTCTATTGTCATTCAGCATTTTCAAAAGTGACCTAAAATTTGCTTTATATAATTAAGCGAATTAAAGCGCAGATGTTACGAAATATGTGTGTGTGTGAGAGAGAGAGAGCGTGTGCGTGTGTGTGTGTGTGCATGTGTGTGTAAGTGTGTGTGTAAGTGTGTGTAAACTTGTGTATGTGTGTAAGTGTGTGTTAGTGTGTGTAAACTTGTGTATGTGGGTGTATGCGTGTGCGTGTATGCATGCCTGTGCGTGCGTGTGTGTGTGTACTTGTGCGTTTGCATGTGTATGAGTGTCCATGTCTTTGTGTGTGTATGTATGAGTTTTGTGTATGTGTGTGTGTGTGTGTGTATGTGAATGAGTATGTATGTATGTGTGTATGTACGTATATTTATGTGGAGGTTGTTGTTGTTATTGTTTTCTGCACCATTGTTTTTCTCCGCTATTAAAACAAATCCTACAAAAAGTTGCCCCTTTTAATTCAATCAGTATTACTGTTCAATTCAAACAGTGCCGTTGTACTTTTCGTAGAGTAATTGAGAGAGTTCAATCTGTAGCCACAGCTAATACAATGCTGACGTATTTTGATGCGGTACAGTGTAATTTTCCTTGCTTATTTTATCAAAGGGGCATCATTTGTGCCCCAAAGTGAAATGGTTTGATTGATTAAAAATATCTTCGACTGATTGTAATTAACTCACACATTTCAACACATTTGTGCAATTATCTCACATTTGACATTTATGGTTGGCGCTAAAACAGCTCACACGAGGCGCAGTCAGTTTGTGGTACCACCACAAACTAGCAGAAGTAAACAAACATGGCTGACAGCTGTGTTTCCAACTTTTAAACACGCTCGTAAGGCGTCATATTTTGGCACTTCCACTTCCTAAATGGCACCTATTTGCAAAGGAGTAGGGTTGATTCAACTTTTGTAAAGAAAACCAGAAATGACTTTTTGTATCGTTCTAACGCTGCATAACCCTGAGTATTTAACCTTGTGGGCTTCCAAACCTTTTCCTCACAATGTCAAATGTGTTTTTGTCAACAGGATCCTGCCCGCTGGCCTATGGATGTAGTCTACAGACATGTAATGAGGCCCTCTGAGACTCTTCAAAAGATCCAGGCATGAAACAGGCATCGGGTTTCAGACGAATTTCCGCGGTCTACTGTGGCTAATCACTTGACTGCTGACGCGCGGGACAGGTCCCTTGTCACATGTTTCTCCAAATACAGGATTCACATGCAAGCCAACACCATTGGCATATGGGTAATTATGGTCTGTATGAACGTAGGGCAAGATATCATAATTGTAGATCTTGCGGTTGTTATATGCAGTCATAAATTCGAATTTGATACGTGCAAAATTCTTACTGTACATTACTTTCTAGTTCTACATTGTCCTCTATATACACTCAATATGTTGTCATCTTTAAAGGCATCCAATGCAATTTCATGGCGGAAAAACTGTATTTTCAAAGTCAATTTCCTAGTTGTTCATTCTTTTAATGTAGTAAGTTGAATCAATCATATCTTATAGGATACTGATATCTGTGAGGCAAAATGCGATGTCACTGACACGTTACTTGTTTTGTATCGTAGGTTGGTTCTAACTAGTTATTGGTATCACCCAAAAAATAACGAAGAGACACTTCAGGTAGCCTGTTTGGGGACTATTTCAAACGCCTTTTAAAGCGTTAAATTACTTATTAATTAAATTAATTAATTAAAATTAATCAGACTTAAAAGTATGAAATAAAAACGTGAAATGTACTAAGAAATGGCAGTAAATGTCAATATCAGGCAGTTTTTCTCATCCAAAATATTTTTTGCTGTCCTGAAGGTTCATCAAATGCATTTGAACTACATTTGATCCAAGTAATGCCACCGACAATACTACATGTTCACATCTTCTCGAGGCGGGCAATTCCACTTTATCCTTCAATTGTAACTGTAACTATCAAATATTTAATATCGTTTTTATTTGTATTTTAGACACGTCGCTTTAGATGTACGAGTACTGCGATATTGTTTACTAGCTGCATGTTTCACCGTTATTTATTTCGTTGTTTATTTTCCTGTCAATATTGTTACTTTCTACTTCATTTCATTGCTCCTAATCTTATATGTATTTGACAGGGTAGGGCCTCTATAAGTAGAATTGCTTTTTCCCAATCCGCGTGAAAAAATAACTTTATCGCAAAAACAATCGAACATAGTACAATGTGTGGCATCAACTACTGAACATTGTACAAAATAGAGGTATAGAATATAAAACTTAGCATCCTGATTACTAAAGCAATAAGGGCTAGCATAGGTCGTTGGTATAATGTTACAATCGAGTTATGCTAGGCATAAGTTTCCGTATTTTATCTAATAATAATGTAGTCTTTTATGTTTTATCTATATTTTATGTTGTGGGTTACGTTGTTGCATCTAAAGATAATTTCCAATCTGTCTGTAGCGTCGAGTCTCTTCAAATTTGTTGTACTTAATTTGAAACAAAATGTGAATAGCTTATTGCGTAAAACGTTATGTATAACTAAAGCATTCCATAACAAATAAATACGACTAAAATAAGATAAAATAAATGAATTCCTACCCTTGATGTCGGGAATTTCCGTGATGTTTCGCAGTTTTTCCACCATCTCTGTACTCGTGGTCTCACTGCTGACCGACAGTTGAATGTCTACTCTGAGACCGGCGTTCTTCAGTGCTTTATATACATAGTCTCCCAACTCTTTCCACAATGGCTTCAAGCTTATTACCAAAGCTGCGTGCATCCAAGAGAAATACTTCATAGCCTCGGCCACAGCCTCTGCCATACGGCGCGACGAGGGAACTAGACGCGTGAATGTGGGTAGTTTGGTCAGTTCACTCTTCAGGCAGCCCCAGGACACCATGGCTTTGTTCCAGGCTGTTGCTAGTTGTGCTGCGGGTGTGCAGACTGTCGTAGACACGGGCCCGATGAAAGCGTCTGCCGCTAGCTGGCCTCCCGCTGTCGCCACGAACGTTGCCAGTCTTTCTGCCGGCGTGCACCCGGTGTAGTACATGTGGTACGACATGTTCATCCCCGGGCAAAACGCAGTGTCGTTATTTACAGTTTCAACCGCCAGCCTAACCGCCTCTTCGTTTGAATTCGAAAAACGGTAGTCGTCACAATTCGACGGAGAGTAGACGGCTAGTTTAAAATTCTCTCCCAACGCTTGACCAAGGAAAACTGTTTGTAGAACCATGCCGACGATGGTTAGGAGTAGTACGGTCCACATGGTGGAAGAGCGCGGACCGTAGCGGCAGAACGTAACTGACTCCCGGGCTTCAAGTCATAACAATTAACGTTCTTCCACGCACACACGGCAGTCAGCTACCCACCAAGGCACGACGGGAACGATTACGTTGTGACGTGCCAATCTTTTAAACAGAAAACATAGTCGCTTTTTTCTAAACGTCGCATCAAAATGATGATTAAATACTAAACCCGTCTTAAAGATCTCTTAGAACGTCAAGAAAACCGAAGATTTAAGTTGAGAAATACAGTGTCTTCCTCACAACTGCTGTTGATTCTACACAACACTGCACTTTGTAGTGGAAGATTTCCGTATGCTAATGAATCTAATTTGATAGCCAATCATGTTCAAGATAGCCTAATCAGGTCACGTAAAACCTGTCACTGCCCTGCTCTATCATTTGGCCATTACATGGTATTTGGATAAGAAAATGAATTACATTTTTAAATGGAGAGATATTATTTTATACTGATGGGTTGAAACAGAGGAAATATGAATAATCAGTGTTAGCGGTTGAGACTAGTGCACCAGTTTTACGTGGGCGGTTTCCCACGTGATATTTTTAAACTCACAACACTTCAGCTATAGCAGAGAAAATGACATTGTTGATCATTATTTGAAATTCACGGCGTATCTTTTGAGTCGTTTCGGGCAATTAAAACCATCATATTATGTACTTCTCCACGCTTCCTGTTTACTCCAAGTGATGTCACTAACGGCTGCATTTTGAATCTAAATACCGTTGAAATCCGGTTGAAGCCCGTTCTGTTGGTGGCAGAAAAAAAATTGAGGTTAGGTATATATTTGATAATAACTTGATTGCGAATCTTCACTCGATGGCTAATTGCAATCATAACAATCAATAACAATGTTACAGAGAGTTACAAAGATTAAGTATAAAGTATATAGATATATCATTAAGTGGCGTAGCAATTATTGTAAATCCGTTTATACTTTCGCAATTGAAGCTACATGTAGGGTTTGAGTTCTCAGTAGGCAGTGCCCAACGTTTTGGTAGATAAAAAAAACACAAAAACGCCCCAGCATTTCTAAAATTAACAACGATACCAAAACAGAAATGAAAAGGGGCAGTTATCTGAAACAGATTCTATATTACTTATCATGTACGGATAATTCATATCGGAAACAGCAATGGTGTAGAAGAACAACAACAGCAACACACATACACACGCACACACGCGCACGCACACACATACATACACTCGTGCACATACAACCATCTTAGAGTTACAACAAAATACTTGTAATGAACTAATATTCATTGAAAATCTGTCCATTTAAACTTTTCTAGGTATGAGTTCACATCAATTCTGACCCGACATATATAATTGCCACTTATTCTTCTGTATTATTTTTCTTGTCATGTATCCATAGTTTCCCTTCGGTATCTCCCTTACATTGGCTGCGTAGGTGTGTGTGTGTGGGTGGGGGGGGATCCACAGGAGATTTGACCTCCGTTCAACACACATGTAGGGCGATAATGAACAGACGCTAGCTGCTAATTACCGGACCATTGTACAACGCCCTGGGGCTTTCAAACAAGAACAAGAAATTGGAGATTTGAAACTGCAAGGAAGTACGCAGATGTGTGGTTTACGTTTGGGTTCATATATTATATGACTCAATCAGGCAAACCAGTCCTTCTGGAATTACGTGAATATACTGTAGCCGAGGAGGGGGAGGGGGGTCACAAGGCTCAAGGGTCCAATTTTTATCTAAAAGGGCCAAGATTTTTCTTAAAAAGATGAACTGATTTGTATCACGATGTCCAGACATGTCCCGGGCATAACTCGGGATCGAACCTCTCACAGCCAGGCCCGAGCGGGGCTCGGTCCCACCCTGTAGTACGTAGATTTCAGTGGGGTGGGCAAATATATATATAT